AGGATTTGAAAGTTATCGATGAAAATTGCAACATTGAAAATTTTATCAAAACTTCAAATATTGTTTTCTACTTTTATTATCATTTTGTAGAATTTTCATACTGATATTCCAAGAAATCCATTTTATACGAATTTTTAAAACTTAATCGACGAAAATTGCAAAATTTGAAAAAATTGTCGATTATTTCAAAAATTTATTTCCCAAGAACTAAATGTGATTTTTCAAAAAGGCTTTTTGCATTAAAAAGAGGATACTATAATTAATAATTGGTAATATTTCCACAAGGATCCTTCAAGAAATTAATTTTATAGCCAATTTTGAAAGTTATCGATGAAAATTGCAACATCGATAACTTTATCAAAACTTTAAATATTGTTTTCTCAAAAACTAAAAGTTATTTGTCAAAACGTGTTGGTTCATTGAAAAGAGCACACTTTTATTATCATTTTGGAAAATTTTCATACTTATATTCCAAGAAATCGATTTTATACGAATTTTTAAAACTTAATCGACGAAAATTGCAAAATTTGAAAAAATTGTCGATTATTTCAAAAATTTATTTTTCAAGAACTGAAAGTGATTTTTCAAAACGGCTTTTTGCATTACAAAGAGGATACTTTAATTAATAATCGAAAGTGATAACAGTGACAGTTCTGTTAGTAATGAATGTGATGATGAATTACAAGCGAAGAGAAGAAAACTAGACGAAACTGCAGCAAGAGATTTTATATATCGTAGTGACATTGTTACAATGAGGTTGCTAAAGACAAACCTGATATAAATAAAGTTGTATTCAATGAAAAAAGTCCTGTTGGGATTGAACTTGATTATTATCTACAGTGTCCAACACTGTAGAGAGATACAAAGAGATACTAATTACTGTGAATGGTGGAGTGCTAAGTAATAGGTTTTTAATATCTGATATTTTATAAATTGGTCGGATACCGGATAGTTACCGGATATCCGTTCCACCACTACTGAAAACCATATACTGCAAAGGGAAGTCTATATAACTATAATAATAGAAGACAAGATACCGTTTGTAAAACATTACCTATTGCTTGCAGAAATCTAGGCATTGTTAGTAAAAACGCAAAAATTAATTTATCTTTACTTATGATAAATTCTATGAAAAATCATAAGTGAGGTTTTGGCTAAGGACCACTTTTGTAATGCGATTTTGCCAAAATTTAACAGCTAGTTTTTGCAGTGTACTTTAGACTGATGCAATATCTACATTTTTGTCGTAACTATCTAATCTTCCGCAAACAACTTTAGTCATTCATTTTCAGTATAAAACCCTCTACTAAGAGTATCTATTCTTCCATTATCCATATCTATTCTTCTGCAAGCAGTATCTAGGCTTCTGCGAGCAATACTTCTGCTATCCGCAAAGAACAAAAGGAGGAGAACAAATTGGGTATAGGAAGGGTAAATAATAAGATTGATATTCCGGACCACTTGTTAGATCTTGACGGTTTCAATAACACTTTCTTGAATGCTTCTACTGATCGTCTCAATGTTAATGTCTTGAATTATTATTCTAACAATAGATTTAAAAATTTTGATGAACTGTTTACATTTCATGCAGTTGGTAGTGATTTATTTGGCATAAATGTTATTAAAATGTCTTGTCTACACCTGCTAAAGATTATAACACATATAATTAATACATGTCTCTTGGAAAATGTATTTCATGATTGTTGGAAAGAATCTTTGGTTGTCCCATTGCCAAAATGCAATAGTCCTATAAGCATATTGTCATCGGTTTCTAAAGTTTTAGAGAGGATTGTTTGTAGGCAGCTACGCAAACATCTATTAAAGTATAATATTTTGCCGGATATCCAGTCGGATTTTAGACCGAGTCACAGATGTAACACTGTGCTTTTAGATGTGGCTGATGATGTTGCTGAAATTAATAACAACTTTTCAAACGCGCAAACCTGTAACCTGTGGTGTCCCCGAAGGTATACTTCCTTCGGGGACACCACCGAAGTGTCCTTGTGGTCCTCTTCTTTTTATTATTTATACAAGCATGTTTAGTAAAGAAATTAATTTTTGCAAATTCCATGCGTATGCTGATGATACTCAACTGTTTTACTCTTTCCATCATACTGAAACTGAATTAGCTGCTGTTCAAATTCTGCCGCACATGGTTTAAAAATTAATCCTACTAAATCTAATATTATTATATTTAGTAATAGCCCTCACATGGAGTCGGTGGAGTGCAGTTTGAAAGTTTTTGTCAATGATCAACAACTACAATATGTAAAAACGGTTACAAATTTGGGTTTGTGAATAGACACTCATGTAAATATTATTACTCAAAAATTTTATTGTATTCTAAAATCTTTATATTCTTATAGGCATATTCTGAACCAAACTGTTAAGCGTTCACTCGCCAACTCTTTGATTCTGTCCTTATTTAATCACTGTGATTCGGTCTGTGGCAGTTGTATTACTAAACAATACCAAAAGAGTATGTTCAGAATAGCTGCTTTCGATTTATTTATAGGGTATCCGCAAATACCATAGAATTTCTCATAAGCTTGAGGACTGTGGATGGCTAAATATGTTAAATAGAGTCAAATTACATGAAGGAGTACTATTTTTTAAAATACTCGTTGATAAGGTTCCAGTATATTTACATAAAAAAATTAGATATCGTACTGATATATACAGGGTCATCAACGACGACCGTCCATTAGACCTTTTCAGGGTTCTGACCAATACAAAAATTTCAAAATTCAGATTTAAGTATTATTAATTGCGTTCTCTTCGACTAAAATAATATTTTCAGATTTCTAGCACTTCCGGTTATACCGGAAGTTGCCACCTACTTTATTTTTTTTAAATGGAACACCCTATATATTTTTACATATTTGGATTTGTCTGTTTTCCAGGTTTATGAATAACTTTACTTTTTGCAATTTGATTCGGTCGTTCTCGAGTTATTCGAATTTTTCTAGAAAAATCAGCTCCAGCAGACATTTGTTCAAAAAATCAGAGAACACTCGATTTTTGGGGTATCAATTTAGGATTCAGACCATGCTTAAGCAACATGATGGAGTATGTTTTGGTGCCGAGTATAGCTGTCTAGAACGTTTGGTCACTTTACTATGGCACGTTACCTTTTCGAAACTTGGAAGTACCATAACTTCATTTCTTTAACTGGCACCTCCCATATTTTATTACTTAGTCGTCTTCGGTGTCTCATTTTACATCTTTTATATCCTATATGCCCTATACCTAACATTTATAGTTTGGGAAATAATTAGGGTTTATTAAAAAATGCACACAAATATCGATATTTAACCTAGTGCGACCTAGTGAATATATATTATTATATCCATTCTTCTGTAAGCAATAACTAGTATTCTGTTAGCAATATCTAGTCCTTTGACAGCAATATCTAATTTTCTGCAAACAGTATATATCAACAAACAGTATATATGTTTGCTTCCATTAATGGGATTTGGTCCATATAATTGTTTATAATATTGTCAGATATGATTTGGTGGTTCCTGAATCCGCTTCAATTTGTCGACTGGAGATGGATGGATCTGCAATGACGGCTCCAATTACATCAATTGCGACATTTTCAGCACCTTGAATTTTATACTTTTGTGGTCTTGATTTTTTAAAACATCCATAGTTGATTAAATTTTCTTTCAGGCGGTTAAAAATTAACTTATGTGGTTGTTTCCGTTCTGGGTAGCGATTTAGATATGTTTCACACGCAGCATCTGCGTTGTCGTTATTGCGAATAAAACATTCCAACATACCTATCATACTTTTCATAGTTACTGAATTCCATTTTCGAAATGAATGTTATTAGTTTTAAAAAAAACTGAAAACGCTAAGACTACCTATCACAATTTCTTACTTAAGTTTTTTAACTATGATAAATAAACACATGTTACTATAGCAACTAGGTAGTATATACTGTTCGAACCCGCCTACTATAATCAAAATTTTGAATATTAGCCCTTATTATTTTGGAATTGAAAATTAACGCTTATTTTCCGCACATACACCATGCATGCGATACATCATTGGAAAGCTAAAAATATCCTCTTTTCAGTAACATCATAATCAAGTATAGTTTGTATTTAAAAAAATACAACTTTGTGTTGTATCTCAAAAATCATCAAGTATATTTAAAANATTTAAAACAAGTTTAAATATTGTCTTGTTAAATTAATATTTTAATGTTCCAATATCGCAGTAATAAATTAACTTAATTTCAGATATATGTTTATATCAACTATTTCGTTTATTTAATGGTAGAGGAAACACCTACCTGGAATAGTGAGGTGTTATTCCGGAACACCTGTGTGTTGTATCTCAAAAAAACAGCATGCTCACGGACAAAGATTGAACGATATGGGACATCGATTTTTCAATGAGCTGAAAGATGAAGAGATAATCTTGGTTATATTTTGCAAGAAAAAATAAGTAGCTCTAACTATGTTCTGTGATAAACAATTTCAAGAGAAATTGTCCATCAATCGTAACAAATTGTAGATTTAATTAGTTAAACAATATTTTATTTATTTAATGTTGGTGGAACTGGATATTTGCCATATTAAACGTCAAAAAAATGATTTAATCATGTATTATTAGTAGTAAAATCTAATACAAATTAGAAAAATTATTAAATGTCAAATATAAGTTACTCTATTATCTATTAGATGTCGCTAAAAGGTTACCATAGAAACCCTACCGGTCGCTAGGTAACAAGGAAATTATCATCAATATTTAATAAATAAAAAATTCAAAGAATACGAACTAAAACTTTATTTTTTAACAACAAAAAATAAAACTTAAACTCTATCTATGTACATAATACTTATTTCGTTTTTTTTTCTTTAATTTTCCATTTAATTATTTCCATATAATTCTTGGTTTATATAGAAAGAGAAAAGTAAAAAATATGTATTTTTTTAAATTAAATTAAATTTAAATTAAAATAATAATAAATGGAAATTAAAAAAAAAAATTAATAATAAATGAAGGTAACCCGTAAAATAAATTAAACAATCAGTCTTGGTCGAATTGGTCAACCCGGTTAACCTGGACTTTTTATAATACACGAAATAATAATTAAATCCTAATTAATTAAAAATAAAAAAAAAAATAAAACACGAATACAGAAAAAAAAATCATCAAACATCTTTGGTGTTACTAAAACGTCCTTTGGATTCTTTAATTCAAAGAACTTTGGTAACTTAAAAAAAAATTTAGTTAAATTATCGCTTCATTATTTCATCTATTGTGAAACCGCGAAACTTTTTCGTCGGGGATTTACAAATTTCAATAACCGTCGTTGTTTCTTCCTCTTTTCGCGTCGTGCTCAAATCCAAACACGTACTGTGTACCTCGTTTTCTTCTTTGGTTAATGTTATTAAACTTTTAGACGTGGTTAAATTCGAGGATGAAGTTAAATTTAAAGAATTTAAACTTATCGAAGAATTTGTTGAAGTAGAAGCGACCGGAGTGGCATCATGAATTAAGATATGCGCTTTTAAATCGTTCAAATTATCGAAAATTTGATTACATTTATCGCATTCGTGACAAGTCTGACCGTGACTTAACATGTGTGTTTTTAAGTTAGAACGTTGATTGAAAGATCTGGTGCAAATGGGGCATTTATGTGGTGATTCTTCGAGGTGTAAGATTTTATGAACGGCTAAAGTGCGAGATTGGCAAAAACCTTTTCCACATTCGCTACATTTAAACGGCTTTTCTTTGCTGTGGATGTATCTAAAATAAAAAATTATGAATTAATTGTTGCAGAAAGATAATGAATAATAAAACTTTATTATCTTTTTGTACTTGAAGCTAAAATAAAAATATTTTTTTACCTGTGATCCCTTAAATGATCTTGCCGTCTAAAAGCCTTTCCGCAAATATCACAACTGTAAGGTCTTTCATCTGTGTGAGTTCTTTCGTGTATCAACAAATTATAACTTTTGGTGAATTGTCGGTGGCAATATTTGCAGATAAATTCTTTTCTCGGTCTAGAATTTCCTGTGGGAATTTTTTGTTGTGCCGGTACCTGCGGGCGTCTATGATGATCAAATTGATGTTGTTCCATCATCGCGTGTCTTCTTGCTGCGTTGTACCACGCCGCGTTCGAAATCCAATGTGTAAATATGTTGTTATAACTCGCGTAATTGTTGTTATACGTTAAAGGTAACGTTGAATTATTATAATTTTCCACCAACGACAAGTCAAACGGTTGCGGTTGATGATGTCTCAAATGTCTGAAATTGGTTTGCGAATGATGATGATAACGACCTTCTAACGGTGGTGTTATTGATGAACACGTTGGCGTTAATGGAGGTGTTAATAAAGTCGATGTGCTATCAGCTTCTTGTTTATAACCTTGTTTTAAAAAAGAAATAATGTAAAATTTTGATTTAAAAATTTATTGAATAAAATTCTTACCTGTAGGACTATGAGATGTTAACAATCTGGAATCCACAAAATCACTAAGCAAAGACATATTTCTCAATATTTCACTGGGTTTAGAAGAAAAGGATAAAGAAAAACCGGAAACTTTTCTGCTTGTCACATTAACCGATTTTTTTCGGCTCGAATTGTAGCTGAATACTGCCTGACGACCGCTCCAGTCGAAGTCGTGGCAACTTTTGGTTCGAAATCTGGTGGGGTTCCAGAGATACGGTTACAAACACGAAGTAGTCAGGAGGGGCCGCCTTTCCGTGTAGTTTCGGGTGCTACTATTGGTTGGAGTTGTGATCGTTCGACGTTAACGTTTCTCAACGACAAATCGCGCACGTTCCGTGGTTTATTGAACCGATTCTTTTTATTAAAAACCCGCGTATATCAATTATAAATATAACATTTATATAGTAGTTTACATTTTATGCAAAATAGTTCATATAAAAATGTTGAGTGTAGTTCATTTATTTGTTTGAGCGTGCTTGAACAAGTTCGTGATGCATCATGAGCAATTAGGAATAAATCCAAATAAATTGCAATCCGTCGGAAAATATTATTGTTGCTATAAAATGGTACTTACCTAACTTGATTCAGTTCCAAGAAATGTTGTCACTTCATTTGGATCACTTCAAATTCTTCATGCAGTATCTTAATTTATCTTCTTCACCTTTTTCTGCAATTAAAAAAAATATACTTTACAAATACGGCTGCCACATATTCTAGTAGTTGATATATTAGTCAATCTGTATAATTCAGGTACTCTATACAATGCCTAATAAAATACCTAGGGTGTGTATAGGCAATGTATGAAATATTATGAAGATTACTGTCCCTTAGATACTTTACCTAGGTAATGTATATGTTACCGACAATCTGTATAATCCGGTATTCTGTACAATACCTAGGCAATTTATAGAATACCTAAAACGTTTAGGTAATATATGGAAATATTATTAATTTTATACTTTGCCTAGGTATTCTATAAAATACCGAATGCGATTCCGGCAATGTGTGTAAAAGGCGAGAACAGGGAAGGAGAAAGATATGGCAATTAAATGTATTTGCAAAAAACACTGTGATACTAAAAAGTGTTCATGTCTTAAAAGTAAGATTTTATACACCTCAAAATGTCACAATAGTTCCTCATGTAAGAATAAAGAAATATATTTTTTTATTTACTCAATTCTGAGAGGCCACTACGTCTTGTTTTTACAGAATTATTTCGTTTCCTAAGTTTTTAATACTTATTACTTGATTTTGTACAATAACTTATAGATATAATTTAAGTTAATATTCATTTCACCCTTTCTTGGATAAAGTAGGTAATAAATCTTTATTTACTAAGGTGATATGTTTAATTTTGTTAATTGTCTTTATTAATTTCAGCCACCTGGCCGTCTTCAGAAGACCTCTATAAGTACAAAATATTATAAATTATAAATTAAACGGATTAAAATCATAGTATAAACTTACGTCAGATATTATAAACGCACGTGAACATGTTTTCCAGGGCAATTATCGCATAAACTGAAAAAAGTTTTTAACGGATACAAAATTCGTCTTACATACAAAACTAAAAACACCCTGAAAAACCTGTTAATTAACAATAAAGACAAAACAGAATTACTAAAGAAGAACGGAGTTTATCAACTACAATGCGACACATGCCAGGCAATATATATAGGAGAGACGGGAAGAACATTGCAACAGCGTATTAAAGAACACAAAACCAGAGAAAACTCGGCATTTGGAAGACACTTACTTTTTTCACAACATGACTTTAAAGAACAGGAAAACGTCAAAATACTACACAGATTAGTACGGGCACACACATGGAACTTTTGGAGCAATATGAAATAGATCGTTTTCTTCATAACAATCCCAAAGAGAAACTGCTCAACGAACAACTAATTCCACAACAAACCCCATTATACACATACTTAAAACATCCATATCCACCATATAAAGGACAAGCAAAATTTTTAACAAACGAGAGAGCCTAGTTAGGAGGCGACTAGTGCTGCTGCATTATTAAAATAGAGAGGCCCCGAATTACGAAAAAGATTAAGTTCACGTTTTATTTTATTTTGATTTTGATTCGATGTTTTATTTCTTCAAATATGTTAATATTACTTGTGTGTGCCTTTGCATTTTGTTCGGATTGTACATTCCCTTTTTGTTTTCTACTTTACCGATCAGCGCAACCTAACCTCACCAACAACCCTGTTTTCCCGCTAAAATTACACCATGTTCTTCACGATTAAAAAGTTTTTTAGTTTTTGAAATTTAACATGTTCACGTGCGTTTATAATATATAAAAGTTATATAAAAGTTTATTATGGGTAAAAATTGATAAATACAGACCAAAATCTATTTATTTTACACATTGCCGGTCGACCAACAGGTACTGTATGTAATCCCTAAAAATTGTATATGTTACCGTCAATCTGTATAATTCAGGTATTCTATACAATGCCTAGGTAATCTATAAAATACCTGGGGTGTCTAGGCAATGTATGAAATATTATGAAGATTATTGTTCATTAGATACTTTACTTAGGTAATGTATACATTACCTAGGTAAATTTATTATTATTATTATTCTACTAATAATAATAACATAGACAGTTTTCAATAAAGCGCTTTATGGGTCATTCTCAGAAAGGGTGGAAAAAAGGTTTATAAGAAAAAAAATCGTGTAATTAGTTTTCTAGGTTATATATTTATCGAAGAAAACATATTAGTATAACAAAAGTTTTGTACTTTGAGAATATAATTAAATAATGAAAATAATGTTAAGTTTAGAGGTAACGGAGTTGAGAAGTGGTAACGAAGTTGACAAATAATAATTTAATTCCAAGTTTTGTTCCTAACATCTCAACTTATTGCATACTAAACTCAATGGCATATCATCACCCAATGATGATGAATCTGTATATACAACGCTATAACGTAGAGCTGTTCTATACTCCTTAGATCCAAGTTATAGTGTGAGCAAAGCTGGCCGGGTTCACAACACAGACATGTCAGTTCTCTGAAAGTAAGTCGATTCCTTAGTTTATTGATCCAGGCTACTTTCACCGTACCTTTAAACGTAGGAATATTTTCTGGGATCAGTTCGTCGATTATAGGGATTAGTTTTTCATCGATACGAAAGATCTTGATCCCTTTTATTGAGTTTTGTAAGACTTTTACTAAAGTATCGTAATCTGGTGTGGATACTTTTAATATACAACTAAGGTATGAAAAGTGTGGTAAGGTTGCTTGACAGACTTTACCACGCCGCAGTTATATCTAAGATATCTGATGCTTTAAAGAGCCAAAGTGTGCAGATTGTACTTNTATATTCTACTTAAAAAAGTGTCTTAAGAACGTATCAACCCCATTTCTCTAATTTCAAAAATAAACGAAATATGAGCATTTTTTGAAATCACAAAAATTTGACTTTTTGGCTATAACTAAAAAACAAAAGAAGATAGAGGTTTGGTGTTTGCGAGATTGGGTTAGTCTCGAAAAAAGAGTCTGGGACATGGCACCTACTTTTTCCGTATCTCTTATAGTTTCTGAGATAGCCTATAATAACACCCAAATTTGCCCACCCTGTACAAGACGTTAAATCCACTTGACCTTATACATTAAAGTCTGAAAGTCCGTTTTTTCATTGTAATGAAAATTTCAAATTAATATCATTGTAAACTCTACTTGTAGTATACTCTTAAAATTTAAGCATATCAAGCAAAAGTATCAAAGTAATATGTCTAAAGTATTGTTTCTATATTACCAAAATTAAATTTTGTAAAATATCTGGTGTAATATTTTTGACGACAATCTCATCGAACACTTTTTAGCCTTTAAGAAAACATTAATGAACTTCTACAAGAAATAATGTCAACAAGAAAAATTAGTTCATGCTAACCTACTTTTTAGTTCATTAATCTTATGATCTTACGTTATGATTCTATTATGCGGGGTTGGATGAAACCTATGGTTCATTCAATGCTTATTAACACGATTAAACAAAACGATTAAAGATAAGTAGGGGGTTTATAGGCCCCTAATTTTAATCTTCCTCTTTTTATCGAAACACTGGAGAGTACCCTTTGTGAGAGTATTGTTACATCTCACTCGACAATTATCGTGGGCGATATTAATGTTGATCTTCTTAAGCTTGATTCTCCCTCAACAACACTTCTTCACTCATTTGCGACTTCTATTGGCTTACATCAGTTAGTCACCGAACCCACAAGAATTACACAAAATTCGCAAACTTTACTCGATCCAGTTTTTACAACAAATGATAAGCTGTTTACTAGTATTGATGTTGTAAATGTACCTAATATATCTGATCATGAACTAGTAAAGTGTGAGCTGGCATTTGATATCGGTAGGCCTGCTGCAATTTATCGTACATACAGGGATGTGAAAAACATTAATTATCCACAATTCTTGAACGATCTGAAATCAATTCCGTGGAGAAACATATATGATCAAGAAAATGTGAATGATAAAATAACTTTTTTCAATAATTGTTTACTTACTCTGATGGATTTGCATGCACCTTTAAAAACTAGACGGTTTACAAAGCCTCCCAGTCCCTGGCTAACAGATAATACTAAACTACTAATGTCTATTCGAGATGATGCGCTTAAAAAATTCAAAAAGTCTAAGCTAACTCAAGACTGGGTTTCATACAAGTTGCATCGCAATCTGGTAACATCAACGGTGCGGGCTGAAAAGAAGGCATACTATGATTACGCCTTACGTAGTAAAGATCCAAAGGCTCTTTGGAGAAAGATTAAACTTCTAAATATAAATAAAAAANGGATTAGTTTTTCATCGATACGAAAGATCTTGATCCCTTTTATTGAGTTTTGTAAGACTTTTACTAAAGTATCGTAATCTGGTGTGGATACTTTTAATATACAACTAAGGTATGAAAAGTGTGGTAAGGTTGCTTGACAGACTTTACCACGCCGCAATTATATCTAAGATATCTGATGCTTTAAAGAGCCAAAGTGTGCAGATTGTACTTTTTCAGTATATTTACAGAAGTAATTTTTAGAAAAATCCATATGGATCAAGATTTTATCAACAGACAAATTCTTTTTCACTACATTTATACACCGATACTGATGGGATATATTCCTGAGATGCAACATATATGTATCTCGG